TTAAGGTCTCCTTTCTGTTTAAAAGTCTTGCCACACTGAGAGCAGGAGAAAGGCTTTTTCCCAGCATGAATTAACATGTGCCTGTTAAGGCTTGCTTTACATGTGAAAGTGTTTCTACACTGAGAGCAGCTAAAATACTTTTCTGAATTGTGAGTTACCAAATGAATCTTAAGTTGTCCTTTCTGTGTAAAACTCTTTCCACACTGAGAGCAGCTGAAAGGCTTTATCCCAGCATGAATTAACATGTGATCCTCAAGATTTCTGTTACATGTGAAAGTCTTTCCACACTCAGAGCAGCTGAAAGGCCTTTTGACGTCTGTTTTTTTAATGCTGCAACTCACTGATTTTTCTCCAGTCACATCATGATATTTCTGATCCTGATGTTTCTCCTCCACCTCATTCAGATCTTGTCTTTCCTCTTTCACTTTCATCAGGCCTAAAATGAATAAATGAGAATCAATTGGGACATTTGGAAAAAGGGAAAACATTTGTGTACTAGGGCTGCAACAAATGGTTATTTTGGTAATCGATTAATCTAACGATTATTAGAACAATTAATCGACGATTATTTCACTGATTAATCAGTAGACATTGACTGATAATTCAGCTTTTGCAACTCCAACCTTTTTTACACCACGGAGCGGTTCCGCTTTAAAAGTATTCTTGGGGACGGGCTCCCTCACGTCTCATATACAGTTTATATGGAGATGTGAGAGAGGAATTAACGATGTTTGCGTGCTGTGTGAAATACATCTCTGCATGTTTGCACGCTTTGGAAAACAGCGTGTGAGTAACAAATCGAGTTCTCTCTTTAACTTTCTTCTTCTTCTTGTGGTTTAAAATCACTTGAATGTGAAAATTGGCTAATTAATCTGCGAATCACATGCATGTTGAACTGCGGTGCCTGGTCTGTACATATAACGGATCAACAGCGATCTGTTTAACCCCTAATAGCCTATAGATACGACAGATAAGAACAATCATTCATGTACTTTAACAAACAGCATCTTCACAGCAGCAGATCTCAGTTCAGATGATACTCCTCCAGATATTCCTGCTTGCTTCAAAACTTAGTCACGACTGTGAGGATGAGAATATTACAGGTATTTACTGACCTGATTCAAAAACTCTATTTCTCTATTTACAGAAACAGCATTTCTAACTGTTTGTATTAAAACAGCATCACGACATAACAACCGAGAGCGCAGTGAAACTAATCTTCTTCCTCTGAGGTTTAATGGTGTTTGGCAAACAAACGTATGTGTTTTAGCTCCACCCGCTGGACTGGAGTGTGAAGCGGCGAGAGGAGGGAAATAATACGAGGAAATTACTTGGTGCGTCTATAAGGTGAGTTGATTTGTTTTCCTTTAAAAAAGCCGATCTGCACAAATAAATTAAAATTATAGACTCGCGTGGTATTTGATCATCATCAACAGTCTTCGTGTGTGAGGATTAGAAGAAAACGCACGAATTTATTAGTCAAATATTTCATTGAAAATCAAGTTCAAAGTTGCAGCATGTAAATATGGAAATGAACCCTCTGGCCCTCTTCGTTTAGGAGTCACACTTGCCTTCTTCTCGGTCAAAAGTGACCGAAGTGTTGAAATGTAACTTTTTTTTTTTTTCAGGAAAATCAATGTAATATATTTTTGGTCAATAATATTTTTTTATTATTATTTATGATTTTGAGGGAATTTTATGATACTATGCAATATGTATACAATTTTAATGAGCTATTTTCTCCATTAGAATTAATATATTTTTTTATCTCTTTATTTATTTACTATTTTTTAATAAATGCAATATCTCACATTAAAATAGAGTGAAGGCATTTAAAATAAATTCTTTGAAGTGAGAATTGGGCCATCTGGAGGCATTAAAAAAATAAAAACGTGTGTAATGTTGCGTAACCTCTTGTATTAGCAGCCTATATAGATATATACAGAGGCTTTTGGATTCTTGTTTTTTAGACACAATTTCCTCATTTTTTTAGGTTTTGCATTTAGATATACAGTATATCTAGACATTCTAAAAGAA